GTTATGCTGGTGGGATGTGTGTTGTGATGTTGGTGGGACTGTATTTTGGTTGTTGGCGATGTTTGAATAGGGTACATTGTTGTTTTGCACACGATGGGTTTGTGCATGTTGGTTTGTGCATGTACGTCATGTGCACTTGGTTTAACTACTAACGTTGTGTAACCATTGCGAATATAATTCAGTTTGTATTTGTAGTTGCATGTTTGTGTGATATTATGATTAGTGGCGACAATTTGTTAATTTTTATTGTAATGATGACTAGTGTGTGACACTATTGGCAGGTAGCATTGGCCGGCAACATGGGAAAAGGGCCGCGTATAACAGCCCACAACGTTTGCAGCGTACCGGCAACGTGTCAACCAGGTTGGCCACAAAGAGGCAAACCAGAATGCCATTCAGGAAACAGAAAGTAAACACTGTTGCAGTTATAAGTTCTGAAATCAACCCGGCGAGACTAATGTACCAGTCCAATATTTCGGGGGTTATCAAGACTGTGCTTGAGTTAGAGTTGGGTGATAGGCATATTCAGCAATTGGAGAAAACACCGTTCTGGCCAATGATTCATGTTATCCGTGTCCACAAGTTAGATCCAAGAGCGTACATGAAGTGTGATGCCACGGTGTGCCAGATAATTCAAACGTACTAGCCGACGGATAGGAAATTTTACATTAGTGGGAGTGGACTTCCCTTGAGAAACAATGACATCCGATAGATGTTTGGAATACAAAGTGGGAAAGAAAAATTAGATTTGGCACAAGGTGTGAAATGTCCATCAGATTTTATGCAGAGGCGATGTCCGAACATCAGTTGGATGTCTTTGAAAGTAATTAAAGTTTTGCTCATTGAAGCAATTTGTGGTCATATGGAACGAGAGGTAGAAGATGTAATGAAGTTGTTTCCCTTTATATTTGTGCTAAATTATTTTTTGTAACTACGGGTGAGCATATAGAGTGGGCATTTGTGCGCGTAATTGACAAACTGGAAAGCTTAAGGTTATACGAGTGGACTACAGCAATCTGTAACACTCTGATCAGTTCACTCAATGAAACGCACGGTAGGGTAGAGAGGGTTATAGGATGTGTGGTTTCGTTACTGGTACGTATACCAAATAAACTATCGTAGACATATTTATTTCTCCAAAAACACAGTTATATTTGTCCTGTTTTTGTAGCTAATGTTTTTTCGTTGTCATTGTTATTCCAGTTTCTTATTTGTGAGCATTCAAACATCGTGATGCCGGAGCACAGTAATGTGACGCCTCGATTTTGCAAATGGAACATTAGCACACTCGTAGGGAGGTTGAAAGGGGTAAATTTGATGGCGAAAGGTTCAATTAAGGTATGGCGCAAAACATCTCCGAAATTGTTGTTTTAGTTTCCCGTAAGTTAATAATTATCTATGTGATACTATTGGCATTTTGCAAGTTAATTGTGATAAAATTGTTAGGACAAGTAATGAGTGTTACTTATTTAAACCGGTGCAAATTGGGAATGAGGAAAACTGGAGTGAGGAGATCGTGCTTGATGTGGATCCAGTTAATATGTGGATACAACATAGAGCTGATGTCGGTATGATTGATGTAGATTATGTAGAGCCAAGCTTTGATTGGTGGTAGCCTGACTCACCTAACGGTGGTAACGTTGAAATGAATGGAGTACGTGAAAATGAGAACTTCAATAGTAGGACGCCGGAGGTTAAGAAAAGTATTGGTAGAAAGACACTTGCAACCGGAGAATCATAGCCGGTGTTGTTTCCAGATCTGTTAGACTTGTCATGCACACTAGAGGATGATAAGATGAACACCGAACCCAAGGGCCAGAAGAATGAATTGGGAAAAGCTAATGAGAGAATTAATGAGTTGGAAAAGGAAATTAAATCGAAGACAGCACGAGTATATGAATTGGAATGCCGGGTCGAATCGATGGAGAAGATGCTTGGAGCACAGGCTGCCAATTTGCTTATGGGGTTTAACAGCGTTATCATTGGAAATGATGTTGAAATTGCACACCTTAATACCCTGGTCGAACAGTTGAAAGATACAATAGCCAAGTTGGAGGACAATCTTGATGATCGTGAGGTGCACGAGGTGACGCAATCCGTCGCGAATGATGGATCCAATAAGCGAACACCTTTTAACAGTCATTCTGGAAAAATTGATAGGACAAACAACGACACAAGTGGGGAAATTGCACAGCATCCATCATCCCTTGCTGCTCGAGTGAAGGGTAGTGCAAAGCCTGCGTTAGAGCCTGTTGAAAACGTGGATGAAGTAGAAGATCTGACTGTGGACAACGCAGATGGGTATGTCAGGGGTCATTCAGCTGCATTTGGTGCTGTTAATGTTGGTGTGTTTGACATTTGAATTGGTTATAAGGATAAAACAGTAGCTTTGAGGCTGGTCCTAAGATCACATCAATGGTTAGACGTCTGAAGAACAAACCAAGATGTGAATTTAGACTGTCCGACTACGAGTGCACAGATGTAGTGGGCTAGGGCAAACAACGCAGTAGAGTGATGTTGTGCAAATCATCGGAGCCCAGGGTAATTTATACGGTTGAGGATGTTGACGTGGAGCGTAAAACATGGAATGGTTTTGGTATGAGCAAAAGGCATGCCGTGTGGAACTTGTTGAAAGATGATGAGCTAAGAATGCTAAATAAAATATACAGTTTGGACGGTGACGGGTAAGTTTTTGTTTTGAATTTGTTATAATACTTGTATGGTATGTAGTAATCAATGGTCTTGTTTGTTGTTGTTGAATTTGATGTGTGGGTTGCAGGGCACTAATATGGGATGGTGGGGACAACGGAGTGCAAGTGCATTTCACCGACGTCCCAGACTTGGTTCAACAAAACTCAATCCATGGGAATGTACGCACATCTCTTGTACTTTTAAATGTTGTTGGCATTTGATTTGAATGTGGAATGTTAGAAAGTTTGTGAGGATTACATGATTTAAGAAGGTTGTGCAGTTAGAAAGTTTGATGGATGTCATGTGCATAGCAAATTTACATTGTGAGCTGTCATAGTTTTAGTGTACACAATATGGAACCCTAAAATAATAATAATAATAATAATTAAAAAAAAACCTACGCATATGCAGTATCCAGTAATTGTGTGCTTTTGTGTTACCATAACAATGGAGTGTGTGCATACACGTCGACACTATGATCGTAATGTATCAAGTACACAAAAATGGTAGTATTTAATACATGTACATATTTTAAAGGAAATACTTACGGCTGTCACGATGTATAGGTAATCGATGCGTACGCCGAGATATTGATGGTAGTGCAACGGAAGGTGGCTGGAAGAACAGAAAATGGGGACAAGACCTACGTGTATAGTAATGTGTGTTCGGTACGTTATGCGCATGTTGTACATTATCTACTCGTATTAAAATAGGTGTTCATAACATTACAGAACAAGTGTGTAAATTGACATGGACCATGCCTGCAGGACATGATGAGGAACACCAGCGTAGTGTCAAGGACTAAGTACTTGAACGTTAACACGAAGGCAGCACGAGGTTGTAGATACATGATTTACCCAATATACCATGCGAACCATTGGACTGTGATGGTCCAAGATGCCGAAAGTGGAGAATGGAAGCATTACAATTCTATGAGGCCGAGACGTGGGGTTCAAGATGTGCATTATAATGAGGCTCTTAAAGTGGTAAGTGCTATAATGGTTGTTGGGGATGGTGGGCTTACAATGTTCGGCACGCGGTGGTTTGGTTGTTTGCATATGCATGTCGAACATTAGTTGGTTACAAAATAAATTGCATGCAACGAGACAAACCTACCATGAAATTGAACCCCAGAAAATTGGGTGGCCGACCACCATACCAATTTCGTGAACGCTAGAATCTTAATGACAGATTTTCAGACTGATCATTTTGATGGTACTCTTGTGTCAGTTGTGGATTGTTCGCAACAAGTGCCCGAGTCGTAAGTGTGCTTAGTTTCATGTGGTTTTTTTATTTTATTTTATATTTTTTTTGTGTTAATAAATTTTTGGGTGTAACGTTGTCTATGTCGGTTGTAAATGCAAGTCAGACTGCACAATTGTTTTATGTTTCATTGTATGTCAGTACATTCATGGGGTGGAAATCGACACCACGATGGATGGGATCACCCCCACCGGTCTACACACCACGATGGTTAAAATTTTTTTGAACAAACCAGCACGAGAACTTCGTACTAGGATAGGATAATGTGTTTTCCAGAAGCATCATCAGTAGCCTCCTCACCCCCCCTTCAGTTTGTCCGTTTTGTTTTATTGTCAATGGATTATGTCATTTTTTTTTTGGATCGCAAGGGTTGAACGTTGATTGGTCTCCGAAATATTGTATTAATTGTTTACACATTTTGAACATGTTTATCCAAGTCCGAACAGTTATGTCAATTAGCAACTAGACACCATGATATGGGCTGATTACGTTGACCATTATTGAGCATTGATGTTCATAGTTTCAAATTGTTTGCTTATTTACCTATTTTATGGTACAGTGTTTTGGTTCGGGGTTGTTCGGCTCATGATTTTGTGTTGATAAGAGATAACACAGTGAATGTTTTGTTTTGGTACGAGACAATTATGTGTTTGGTTTCATATAATAGTTTTAATGAATGGTTTGTTGTTTGGCATACATGGAAGTGACCTTTAATTGTAGTTGACGAGCACAGCATGGGTTGGGTTTTGCTGTATATGTCCGTAAATTATTAACTACATCACATGTTTATGAAATTGTAAAGTTACGAACCTAGTTATGGAAATTTACATTTCGGAAGGTTTGATATAAACACTTGTAATCGATCAGTTGTTGTTGCAAATTGGTTGATTCGGTGTTATGTATTGTGGTTTGATATGAACACTATGTGTTATCGTAATAAATTCAATTAATGGGGTTTGGGCTGATGTTGGGTTTTGTAATGCACATTAATAAAATGGAGTAGAATATAAATAAGTTAAAACCGGCAAATGTGTAACCGTTATGCATTATTTTTCATCGTCCACAATGTGAACGAAAATGATGTGCAGTTGGGCATAATGTTTGTCATAGCACAACTGTTGACATTAAAACACATCAATGTTTCCCCAAATTTAAAAAATGTTAAAATGAAATTGAAACCAATATGTTTTTTGTGACAAACCCAGTTGCCGGGAAGACAAATTACACAACATCTGGGCGTTTATATTGGCTCTTTACATGTCTTTATGTTATGGTTGCCCAACTTTTTGCATCGACCACACCGAATACGCTGAACTACTTCGCTCCTCGATGGAATCTGCTTTCACTTGGGCCTACCCGGCGGATGGTTAGTTGTGGGTGGCATAATCATGTATTCGACTGGTGTGGCAAATGGCTTTTCAATAGTTGGAATAGGATATATTGTTCCGTTGTACAATGCTTTGAACGTGTCAATGTGAAATGCACAGTCTATCGATTCGTGAATGTTTCTCCCGCTATTACGAAACAGGATGACGGCATAGGAACATGGAAACCCGTTAATTTGCCGCTAAAAACAAGAACACGTCCGCCTGGCCACGTCCATCAACACTGACGAATGGGAGTGGACTTCGTATACATCGTCATTAGTCTGGCTGACACACCACGACCTATTGTCATTGTATGCCTTGGCTAATTTTTTATCCATTTTTGGACATATTACGTCGGCCCATTTGGTGTCTGCTCCATGATTTGTCCGCTTACCATGTCAACCAGTCTAGTAATAGGAAGATGACGAGAATTGCTTACCCAGTTGTTGAAAGACTCAGCAGCGTTAGAGCATATCTCACCATCGTGTTGGCCCCTGCAAAATAACCAATACGAATGCAAATTAAGGACAGAAAACGATGATGACATATAGAACTCCTTGTTCTACACCATTGGGAAGTGTGTAGACTACCTGAAATACGCATTAGCCCAATGTTTGGGATGCAAATCTTTCACAAAATTCTCGATCACAACCGGACTACACTTCTTTAACACCTCTAATTTGTCGTTGAAACAACTGACAGTGGGTGCGTACGCACAATCCCTTAGTTTGCGCATCAAGCCAATCTTGTGCGATGCATTAACGTATTTCATTCAGTCTCGTAAATTCATTTGAAGATGAAACAGACAATATCCATGGTGTGCCGATGGGAATATGTTTGGCATGGATTGCAGTAGCCCAACGTGGCGGTCAGATATGAAAGTCAACGTCCTACCACCGCCAACAACATCTTTCAAATTCTGAAGAAACCATTCCCAATTGGATGAATTCTCAGAATCAACAATAGCGAACGCCACAGGAAACAATCCTACATACATAGCATGAAAGCAGGTGGTGTAATAAAAAATGATATAACCAATTGGATGGCATGCAAATGGTATAATCAAATTTGGTATTGCAATGTGACTTCTTTTATGGCCATGTGTACAAGTACATGATGGAATATAATATTCCTGCAATAAGAATGTGTAATATGTTTTATATTACATTTGTTGTCAATTCCATGACATCCCATTTGTACATGGTGGAAAATATACAGTCAAGTTGCATTGTAAAGCATATCAAACGGAACACTATCTGACTAGGTATACATTAGGAACAAAAATAAAACACATTGATACCTTGATTGTCGTCCTTAGCTGTAACAGCAAGTAAATTACCCTTGAACCTGCCTTTGAGGAATGTTCCGTCTAGGAAGAGAAAAGGCCGACAATGATTAAAGCCATCTATACAAGCACGAAACAATATGAAATACCGAACGAACCTCTCACTTTTTTGATCAAATTCAAGACAAATGTAACTATTGGGATTTTTTTCCATAACGGCTTCACTGTACCACCTTAGTTGGTCGAACGACATGGCATGATCCCCATAAACTTCACCCCTCACTTTCTCGACACCCAACCATGCTACCCGGTAACTAATGTCCAATCCATAGTCATTTTTTAAATCAAACACCACATCCGTGGGGCGTACCAATGGTTGACCACGCATCCAATCTACGAAAACAGTAGACACCAACTCAGACCCCGTACGCGGGTTCCTATAAGTCCGTACTATGGCACCACATTTGTGTACACTGTCGAACCTCTTAATACATAACACCCCGCTCGATGGGAACGCCCTCGCATGAACTGACCAAACACAACCCGTTGCCACTGCAAACTTACACACTACAGTAATACAAACCAAATCATTTTTAATGTACTTGAATTGGAATCCATGTTCCACTGCATACTTGCATAGAACTCCACGCAATTCATTGGCCCCCTCGTCGAAACATTGGCCCACATGGGTAATTCCATCCGCCCATTGAGCGGACAAAAATGTCTTCTATTTGTTAGGGCAATATGTTGGTAACAAATCCATTTGGTCATCATGACCAAAATTCGGTTCACCAAGGGGATTCACACCATTCTCTAAACAATCCACCACCCCAACATTGCCCCATGCCCCAACACTGCGTGCCGAAATTACAACATCATTGTGATTTAGCCCGAATGACTTAGCAAGACACAACATATTTTTAATATCGTCATCACTGTCCACCTTAAACTTCTTATACTCGGGAACATCAAACAACATACACACCGCCCCCAGCACCAACCCATCAACTTTCGCACAAATAAGATCAACCAACTGTGTGAATGTCTACCCGTACTGCAACCGAACAAGAACAATGGTCTGTCCGTACGTACAGACCAACAATAGACCATTATCCATACCTGTTATGTAAGGCACAAACCATCAAATCGCATTTAACGTTCGTAGACGCAAAAACATCAAAATGTAAGTTATATTAACATCAACAAAAAAAAACACACACACACACACACAAAATAATAATCCACACCAGCAGTTACCATTCACAAAACAACACAACCCCCTCCCCCCAACACACCCAAAACACCCAGCCACACACACCAGTAAACAAAATAAAAAAATAAATCCCAACACACCAACAATAAAATTACTCACCTATTACACTATGATGGTTGTAACAACGCCTGAATCAGTCAAATAGGTAAACAAAAAATGGAACCAATGAGAACAATGTCAAACAAAAAGAAACAACACAATGTCACCCCTAAACAAAAGGAACAACACACTCTCCCCAAAAACAATGAGAACAATGTTAAACAATTCAAAAATGGAATCCCGAAGATAACATTTCCTTATCTCCATCCAAAACTGAATCAGTCAATTAGGAAAACAAAATCAAGGGTACACATGTAAGAAAACAAAAAAAACAAAAACAAAAACCCATCTAAATAAAAGATACCAAAAAAATAGGACTAATTGGTGTACAAGAAAACTCTTAGGACCAAATGGTTTAACTTTCCTCCATTTAGGATTTATTAGTAATTTTTTCTTTATTTTATTACATTCTTACATCAATTTTATTTTCGTTTATTTATAAATAGGAGTCCAGATCCTCCATGTGGATCTTTTCTATTTGGCTCCTTATTTAGGGATTGTTTGAAGTGTCCTAAACAAGTGTATTTTTTGTCTTTTCAGACTAAAAAGTTGAGGTTGAAAATATGAATGTTTGGGTTAATTTTTTGACTTTTTATGGAAAAATGTGTATTAAAAAATTGTATAAATTAATGTATAGGGAAAAATTAGTATTGGGAGTTGTGCAGCCGTAATTGTTGACTTTTGGTAAATAGTGATAACTTTTTAACTTTTTGAGTAACTTTTTGACTTTTTTGAGACTTGCCAAACTTGGCCTTAGTGAGTTATTGGGCTCGGTTTTTAACCAAATTTCGATAATTTAAATCGTTTATACTTTTGAATTTGTCAAGTATATCATACTTTTAAAATTTAAAATTGATCGGATATCGAAAATCACATGTTTGGATCATCGAATTAAAAATCATTTATTAAAAAAAATTAATAAACAGTTTTATTTTTTAATAAAATGATTTTTAGTTCGATGATCCGAACATGCAATATCTAATCATTTATTTTTTACAAGTATGATATACTCAACAAATCTTAAAATATGAATGGTTCGAATCATTCAAAATTGGATCCAAAAATGGGCCTAATGGCCTATCAAGTATGAAGTCAAGTAGAGAAGATCAAAGGAGAGGATGTAAACTCCGTAAACAGGCGTGGTTGATGTAACACTAAAATTTATTTTGAAATTTTATTTTATCTTCTAAATAATTTTTAAAATATCATTTAGACCTTTAATATATAAAAAATTATATTTAAATATTTAATAATAACTTTCATTTAAAAAGGTAAGAAAAATAAATTTTAAACAATAATATTTACAAATATATATATATATATATATATATGTATATTTTTTTACCATAGTCAAAAACTTTTTCATGATTTAAGAAATTTTTCTCAATTTGTATCATTAGTCAAAAACTTTTCCATGATTTAAGCAATTTGTCCCAATTTGTATTATTAGTTGAAAACTTTTCCATGATTTCATGAAATTTATTTTAAAAGTACTATGTAAAATATAGCGATTTTGGTTTAGACTTGACCCATTTTGCATTCTGAACTCGGGTTTCATGATTTCGTATTATCATTTATGTCTTACTTCTCTTATACTCCTTTGAATTTGGCTATTGGATTGTTGTGGTTGTATTTGGAACAGATTGGTTGCTTGGTTTTCAAACTTTTGGTTCCCAGAATTTTACTCCTTCGCTTGAACGTCACTTCTTGCGCTTGAGCGGACTTTGTGAATGCTCAGTACTTTTACAGGTCTGCAAAACTACTGGGAGAGTGTATTCTATGCTCAAGCGGTTTTTTCTGCACTTGAGCGGTCTCGGCTCGAGCGGCCTTTTTGCGCTCGAGCTTTGGTCTGCTGTCTGCAAAATTACTGGAAGTGTGTATTCTGTGCTCGAGCGTCACTTTTTACGCTTGAGGGTAACAATTTTATAGCGAACCCGGTTTTTCCCTGTCATGTATAGTATTTCGGACTCGGGTCTAGTCGTTGTTGTTGTTGTCTTATTCTTGTTTCCATCCATTAATTCCTTGTATTTGAGTTTTGGAATGTGTTGGGTAAGATTGAAACAGGTTGGTTATGAGTTGGAACAAATGGTTGTTGTCCAGAATCTGGCATCTTCGCTTGATTGCGGCTTTTTGCGCTCGAGCGAGCCTTGGGTTTGTGTTTTTTCGCTCAAGCGGAGGTTCTTGCACTCGAGCGAGCTTTCTTTGATGGTTCTCTTGGATTGAGCGAGTACTCTTGTGCTCGAGCGTGCGTCTGCGTCTAGATTGGACCTGAAGGTTGTGTTTCTTTGCTTGAGCGAGCTTTCCTTCGCTCGAGCGAGCGAGGACTATGTTTTGAGTTTCTTCGCCCGAGTGAGCACTCTTGTGCTCGAGCGTGCTTCTGGGTTGCGGACCTGAAGCTTCGCATTGTTCGCTCGAGTGACGCTTCTTGCGTTCGAGCGAGATTCTTTTGTGTCTAGTCGCTCGAGCGACCACTTCTTCGTTCGAGCGAGCCTCGAGTATATCAATTCGCAGCAGCGTGTTTTTATACACTTTTTCACCCTCTTCTTCTTTCAAACCCTAGATCCGGCACACTCTCTCTCTACATACACCTTCTTTTTACAAATACACTTGGTTCTTGGGTGTCTCTACCCTAGTCTCTTTGAAGAAAGGGTAGAGCTTGGTGTGGACTTCGTTTTGATCCGAAAAAGTTGAGCTTTGGAGCACTTTGAGTTTCTTCCTCCTTCTCCTTTGAGCTCCTAAATTTGAGGTAGGGATGATCTACTCATTCTTATGAGTTTTGGCATAAACATTGATTATTTTGTATAAATGGTAGAATATGGGAGTTTTGGGAAGTTAGGGTTGAGATTTGAAATATTGAAATGAGAGGTTTTCCATGTTTGGACTTATATGTATGTAAGACTTGAAATTGGGATTGTTTATGTAATACAAGTGAAATTGGCCTTGGGGGCAATGTTTGAGAATAGGGGGATTAAAGCCCTAATTGAAATTGAATAATTAATTTGTATAAGTAATTTGAGAAAGTTATGGAAATATGAAATTGAGTTGAAAGTTATGCAATTGGGAAGTTATGAGAATGAATGGTGTAGTTGGATTGATTAATCACTTACTTATGAAAATGTTGATAATTTATCTGTTTGATATATTTATTTATCTGTTTAGAAATAACTGCTTTGGGCTATCGGTGGAGGATAATCTTGATTGTTGTAGACACTGCATGATGATTAGGTGAATTAAAACAAATCAATTGAGTTATGTCATTGAATATGACTGTTGAATTAACACATTGAATATGTG